CCGTGGCTGGGCACGTGGCTCACGCAGTGCTCCAGCAGGGCTCTCCTCAGCCAGCATGTCGCGCTAGAGTCTCAATTTCACTTTGCGGAGATTGGCCAGGGCACCGTGGGCAGTAACAAGCAATGTAATTATTAGGCGGCAGGGGTGTCTGAGTGACAGCTAATTTCATAAACCCAGCAGAGGCCCAGTGTGATCCTTTATGCTCCCTCTACAACCTTATACCCTTGGGGTCTCAGAGAATGAAACCAAGAAAACAAGGCCCATAGGCCAAACAAGGCCCGACACCTTTTGAGGCAGATCTCATAATAACCTCTCCTGTGCATCCCTTGCTGTTTACGGGAGAAAGGCACCTAGAGTGATGGCTCCCATGCTCTGCGGGGCCCTTCACCTGTGCCCTCGGGCTTGCGCCTCCTGAGGACGCTCTGGAGGTCACATCACTCTGCCTGTGCGAAGTCAGGCTGGGGGGAGAAGAGGGATCCTGGCTGCTCCTCTAAGCTCTGACTCCCTTGCAAAAAAGGAGCGTAGAGAACATGCATGAGTTGGAAATGACTCACACTAGGGGCCCTGTGATCAGGCTATGAATGCTGACACTGGTCAGTTTCTCAGACTTCAAACTGAGAACAGAATTTTCTTTGAGGAAATAGAAGACATTAAAAGATTTAATTAAATATCATCAAGGGTCCTGCAGAGGGGAGCTGCATCTGACTTCTACATGATACAGGCACACCTGAGACGGCACGGCTTTCGAAAGGCCAAACTTGGAGCTGAGGCTGGTCAGGGAACAAGGCAGCACGTGTCTGCAAGGCTCTCCCTGGGGCTCTGCAACACACCCGTAAGGACCTGGCCAAACAACTGAGGGCCACACTCCCACCCTCTTAGGCAGAACTTTTCTTTTAACCTGAGGACGTTTCTATTGGGAGATATTGGGACTGGCCAAGGCAAAGTAACAACAGCCCAAAGCACTGCCTGGCCAGAAGGTGAAAGCAGCCAGGGGCTGGGATGCACAAGGCTGGAGCTGCCCACGTCTATTCGTCAGAAGTCCAGGTAGACAGCACTTCTCACACTATGCAATTTCCAAAACAAAGGTTTGAGAGCCCAGCCAAAAATTGTAATGAGAACCAGAGCCAATGGCAGCTCCAAAACAAGCATTTCACCTTCTCTCTTCTGAAGGTTCTTGCACTAGTTCCCATCTTCTTCCACCTGCTTTTTCCACATCCTACTCAATGCTGAAGGCAAACTGGCAGTCTCACAAGGCCAGGCTACAAGGCAAAATTTTCAAGGGCAGGAAACCACTCCCCAGAAAAGGACAAATAGGGCAGGTTGCCACACAGGCCACCAGGCAAAGACCCAACTGGGCTCAATCAATGCTACACGCCAGGCAACTGCTCGCTCGAGGACTGCAGATGCTTGTCTTTTCAGAAACGCATGTCCTGGGACTATGTAAGAGCTCTGAGCAGCTTCTCATCAACAAGGTCCTCTTCTATTGGCCACGAATGCCCTTAGCTCAGTTATTTCCCTTTCTAAGCCACAACTGAAAAACTCCAGTGGTCTCTCCCAACACTCTGGGTAAGCTGGTGGCCAGAAGCAAGTTCCTGACATAGACATTTGTTGACACCAAAAGATTAGCTCCATGTGGAAACGCTCACCAGGCAGCTTTCCCTCCTCTAAGCATGGATACCGAGGCTCGGGATTACTACTTCTTCCCCTGTCCCTTCTGAAACAGCAGCCAGAGTGGCTGGACCAAGCAGAGGTTGCCCCGCCCTTCCTCGAAAAATTTAAGAAAGGCACACAGCAGGCAACCCTAGCAGGCTCCTCCTCTAGGCAGAGATGGTAGGAAGTGGATGTGCTGAGAGCAATATAGCAGTCGTGGTACATGCCACCCAGAGACAGGCAAAGAGGGTTCAAAGAGCATTACTGCAGCATCTCCCATTGAGGTGGGGATACATCCAGAGCTCCTGGCTGGCTTCAGAGCTCACTCTCCAGCCCTATTCCTTTGGCCTTTGAGATGAGTTCTAAAATGTGGGTGCCAGTCCAGGGGCAGAGCTCTGGAGGCGTCACTGAGTTTGGGGCTTTAGTCTTTAAGCTGAGGTGTCATCAGAGGGCTAGGGGAACCTGACCAAGCCTGCTGGCAGAGGCGATCACCCCACTGGCTGCGCTGAGGAAAGACCCAAGCGGGACCCAAGTGCATGAAAGACACCCACAGTGGGCTGCTAAGCAATCTCCACCGGAGGGAGGACACTCGCTTGAAGAGGGGATACTGAGAGATGAACGGGGCCAAAGGACAGCATTTGAGGGACAACTAGAAGTGGCACAAAAGAGAAGACCTGCACACTGGGCAGACGGCCCTCTTGTGCACTAGGGAAGGGAGCACTAAAAAAAGTCAGGTTTTAGGGGCAAGATCATGAGAATGTGCTTCTCCCACCCAAGCCCTGCTCCACAGCCCCAGATCCTAGCACAGCACTCGGCCCCTGCGGGCTCATTTACTAACAAAAGCAACAACACCCCTATGTACTGAGGCTGACTAGGACTAGGACAAGGTAACAGCCCAAGTGATGTGCACAGGGCATGGTGCGCCACTGCTCACCAAGAGCAGAGCTGCGACTCCAGATTGTCAGGGGCCAAAACTGGTACTACAGAGAATACCACGTGTCTTCCTATTTTTTCTAGGGCTAAGAGACACGGAGTCCATTCCAGTTACATAACAGGCTGGAAACCTGAAGCTCCTCCCAAGTGCACCCGTGGACATATAGTGCCATACATCAAGAACTGCCCCCCACCACCTCACCTCAGAAAGTTCTACAAGTAAGGACTGCAGGGAGAGAGAGCAGAGGAAACTGAGCTCCTCCCTGGGTCTGCAGGGCATGATCCCGCTTCAAGCAATTTAAGAAAGGAACACTTCTAACCCAAACCAGGTGAAACAAGTTACAAAACAAGCAACTATTACACTGTATCTCACACACTTTAAAGTACTATCAACTTAAATGTTTTACAACATTCTCCCAATGAGAAATAAAAAGAGCAGTAACAAAAAACGTTTACTGTAAGAAGGAATCCCAATATCTAGCAATTGTGGGTATTTGTAGGACTCCACTGTATGTAACGGCCCTAATACCCTGAAAAATCCATAAGTGCTGCTCTATAAATCAACAAGAAAATTGTGCAAGGGGTACGATTTAAGTCTCCAAATATCGACATATAACCTACATGCAAATTCTTTCTAGACACTCGGAAAATCACCAGAAGGCAAAGGAGCTGCATAAACAGCATCACCCCTCACAGCCTCACCTGGGACAATTTTAACTCCTCCCCCTGCCACACACACACCACGTTTTGTTTCCATTCATTTCTTGCCCTCTGAAGGTGCACTCAACTTAAAACTTCTAATCCCCTCTAGGTGGATGGAGAAATAGTTAAAATAAAACTAGCAGCTTTCAAAGAATAAGTATATACACAAAAAAACTGTTTATTTTCTTTGAATGCTATCAGCGAGTTTTAAAAACCTGCACCTGATGCTTTTTATGTTAATTTCAACACAAACTTAAAACATAACATATACGCCACCCCCCAAAACACCTCTAATTTCACCATTGTTAAACTGTATCACTACCAAAAGCCTAGTATCTTTTAAAAGGACTTTCTGGAAAAGAAAAAAAAGTTGATATTTTCCTTCAACCTAATTTGAGTCCCCGGCAACACTTACCCATTCTGCAATTTAACTTAAATTCCACACTTATCTGCGCCCCACTTTGCCAAGGGGTCTCTAACTTGTCTGGTGGGGGGAGAGGAAAAAAGAGAAAGTGTGTTGCCCTCCCTTTCCAGACTCAGGAGGAGGAAAGGCAAACATCTACAAGTCGGATTGGCAGCCGTTTTCTGCACTGGTTAGCTCTAGCATCTGGGCAAATCATCCGTTTGCAAAGGACTTGAAAACCAAAAGAAAACACAAACTTTCCGTGTAGAATCGGGCCCTGGCCCCGCACAGCGCCCCGGCCGGCCGGCCGCACTCACCCCTGGATGCCCGGGCTGTACGCGCGGCTCTTCCACGGCGTGCCGGGCCGCGGCGCCTGGGCCCCGGGGCCGCCCCCTCCGCTCAGCGCGGCCGCGCGGCTGCCGGACAGCAGGTAGTTGAGGCCGTACGTGCTGGCCTTGTTCTCGCGTTTCCGGCGGCCGGGGTGCCGCGCGGCCCGGGGTGCCCGTTGGCCGCGCCGGGGCCGCTGGGCGCGCCGTCGGCGAAGCTGAAGAAGGCGCCGGCGCGGCCGCCGCCCGGCCGGCCCAGCGAGGCGCTGCTGGAGGACGACGACGAGCAGCCGGGGCTCTCGGTGCCCGACTCGGCGTTGGACGAGGACGACGACGACGACGACAGCGACGGCGACTTGTGCAGGCGCCGCGCGCCCTCGGCCGCGGGCGAGCGCGTCAGAGCGCGGGGGGGCGGCGGGCCCGGGCGGCGGCGGGGGCGACGCGGCGGGCGGCGCGGGCCCGGCGCCGCCGCCCGCCGCGCGCCGCCGCGGCCGCCGTGTCCAGCGCCGGCGAGTTGAGGCAGAAGTAGGACGCGAAGCCCGAGCCGCCGCGGCCCACGCCCTGCGAGGTCTCCCAGATCTGCATCCACAGGGCATTGGCCGGCCCCTTCTGCTCGGGCTGGATCCAGGCCACGCGCGGATCCATCCACGCGCGCCGCGGGCCCGCCGCCCCGCCCGCCGCGCCGAGGCCGGCGCGGCGACGGACGGACGACGGCCGGGCCGGCGGGCCGCCGGCCTCCGGCTCGCGCCCGCTCTCGTCGGGCTCCGGCGGGCGGCGGCGGCGGCCGGGAGGCCGCGGCTCGGCGGCGGCGGCGGCGCTCGGCACGTCCGGCGGCTCCGGCCTGCGGGCTCCGCTCACGCGGCGCGGGCGGACGCGGGGCCGGCGGCAGCGGCGTTCGGCTCGGCCGGGGAAGGCCATCGGAGAGGGCGGCGGCGGGGCCGAGCGGGCCAGGCGCCGCGCGCCGGACCGCGGGGGCGGCCGCCGCCCGTGCGCCGGGCCCTCAGTCACGCTCGCGCCGCTCGCTCCGTGCTCCGGCGGCGGCGAAAAGACACGCTCGGCGGCGGCAGGGCGCGGGGTAGGAGGGGGCCGCCGCTGCCTCCGCTCCAATGAGGGGCGGGGGAGGGGGCGGCGGGGAGGAAGCGCGGCCTCCCTCGCCGGGGCCGCGACGCCAGTGCGCACGCGCGGCCGATTTCAAATCCTCACTAGACACCGCCGCCTTGGTTACCGCGCCTGCGCACTGGGCACCGGGGCTGCGGGTCGGGAGGGGACCGTGTCGGAAGGCTGCGCGACTGGGCGGGGCTGAGGTGGCGGCGGCATTGAGCCCTTGCAGACTACACCAGGGCTGGGGCGGGCGCGGGAGCCGCTCAGAGCTACGCGCAGGCCGGGCGTGCAGACATGCGCGCTGCGGCCTGGTCCCCGAAGGCCGCGCTGCGCGTGCGCGGGAGCAGGTTCCTCCGGGCCGCCCCGTTTTCTGGGCCCCGCAGGCCTGTGGCAGGGCTGGGCCGGCCCGCGTCCCGGCTCTCCTTCACCAGTGGGGCGGCCAGGCGGCCCCTGCGCCTTCGCCCCGCACCCTCCCCAGCGGGCCCGCACGCGTGGCCTGTCCGCTCGCCGGGCCTGGGCGGCGGCGGAACCCGCTTCCCAGCGGGTCCGCGTCCGGGCGCGGGTTTCCTCAGGGAATGAAAACTTCCGAGTCAGTCAGCGCCCGGTGTGGCTGCCCGGGTTTCCTCAGGGAATGAAAACTTCCGAGTCAGTCAGCGCCCGGTGTGGCTGCCCGGGTCACTCGGGCAGGGTCGCCCCGGGGGCGGCTCGAGGGCGCAGGCTCGGGGCGAGGTCGCCCGCTGCCCGCCTGGGGCCCGGTGTCCCGAACGCGAGGGAAGCCGGCTCGGCGGTGGCTTCGTGTGGACGGCGTGGTGCGGTCGGAAGCCGGCGCCGGCGTCCGTGTCCGTGGCGCGCAGGCCCGGCCCGGCCCGAAAGTCCGCCGCGGCGCTCTGCCCTGGCGGCGGGGCGCGACCCGGCCTCTTTAAGGGCACGTTTTAAAAGCTCGCCTGCTCATCTGCATCACGGATGGGTGGACACCACTGAGTGCCACGGGCAGGGTCCGGGCGTTGCGTAGTAAGGCTTTCGGGCAAGCGGTGGTATTTAATGATAAGAATCAGTTCATAGGTTTCTAAGTGCCTGTATGTGGTCCAGGTGGAAATTATGGCATTAGAACATGTGCAATGAGTAAACTACAAAGTAGCAAACACACAAGCAAGCCAAACTAACAGTCGTTATTCTGGAGCTCTTTGCTTGCAGCGGCTCATTCCAAAATCCTTGAAGTCCTACCTGGCTCATTCCAAAATCCTTGAAGTCCTACCTGGCGCTTCTCTCGCGCGCTGTAAGCAGCACAGCCTCTTGGCTTCACTGCCAGCAGTATCCTTCCCCCCTTTCCAGCCATCACTATTTCTAGCCCATTTTAAAGTGGTGCCTCCTAGCTGGTCTCTCACTTTCCATTCTCATTCTTGTCTCTTTCAGCATTTTTGCTTGAGTGATCCTTTTAAGAAAAAAAAAAGTGTTACTCTTTTTAAAGTCAACTCATGCCACTCTTGGGCTCAAAACCCTCCAGGGGCTTGCTTTCTGATTTAGCAAACTATAATAGCCTTGCTGTGAGTCCCTTGCTGTCTGTCCTCCTCCCTGTCCCACCCACCTCGCCTCCCAGCTCTTGCCCTAACCCAACCAGCAGCAGCCACACCCCCAGCCCCTGGCTCCCGGCCTTTGCACTTTCTATTCCATCTTCCCTCAGGTGTCCACACAGCACCCTCCCTCCCCACTCTCACATCTTAGTAAAGACTTCCAAGTGGCTCTAAGGACAAACTTAATCCTCCACATATCCTGTTCCCCTTCACTGCTTCATTTTTCTCTAAGAGTTTATCTCCATTAAGTCTCCGAGGGCTGCATATCAAAATACTACCGTCTGAGTGGATTAAGACAGCAATGTTACTCTCTCAGGGTTCCAGTACTCTTTCAGGCTGAAAGTCCAAAATCAAGTTGTCAGCAAGGTCACTGTCTCTAGGAAGGATCTCAGGGAGAATCTGCTCCATGCTTTTCTCTCAGCTTCTGGTGTTGCTGGCCTCCCTGGGCACCGTTGGCCTGTAGATACTTCACTCCAATGTCTGGCACCCTCATCCCATGGTGTTTTCCCTGTGTCTGTGTGTCTTCTCTTTGTTTAAGGACACCAGTTGTATTGGATTAGGGCCCACCCTAATGACTTCATGTTAACCTGAGTACATCTGCAAAGACCCTGTTTCCAAATAAGGTCCCATTGACAGTCACCCAGCGTTAAGACTTACATATCTTTTGGAGGGACACAATGGTACCCACTACACCATCTAGTGTATATTTGATCTTGTTTATCATCTGTGTCCCCACCCCATTAGAATGCATGCTCCATGAGGAGACGAATGTTTATCTGTCCTGTCCCTGCCCTGTGTCGACTCAAGGACTGCCTGGCACATGCTAGGTCCTCAGTGAAGAGTGGCAGAATAACTGACAGCAACCACTTGCCCTAGCGGGAATGAGCTCAGGCAGGTGCTCTTGTCCAGCTGCCAGGGTCTGTTACACAGGGTGTCATTGTTTACTGCTTTCAGCATTTTAAGTTTTTCTTTATCACATCGTGCTCTGTCTTTGCAGTTTGCCTTTAGCTAATCCCCTTTAATTTGATTCATCAGCCACTGGACAACTTTTTGTAATTAAAGCCAAGATTTTGTTATTTATGTATTTGATCATCTCTTTATGTAACTTAGGAGCAGTATTTTTCTTAACAATACTGAAAGCAAAATGTAGTTCTTGAGACCCTCAGCAAGGGAGAGCCTTCTCTTTGCTTATCTATTTCCACAGATAAGCCAGGCTATTCTCCTGGGCCAAACTCACTCCTCTTTCTCACCTAGTATTGGAAGGAAGATAATATTAGAGATTACACTATGATTTTAGATTTGGTCTCGTAAAAAAAAAAAAAAAAATGGTTTACAAAGTGTATTCCATGGACTAGCCATGCCAGATTCAGCAATGCTGGTCAAAATGCAGATACCTGGTAAGGTTTGAAAACTTTTGCCTAAGCCACAGGCAGTTGGCTGACTGGCAGCCTGGCAGTTGGCTGACTGGCAGCTAGGGCAGCGGGGTTGACCTGCCCGTGAGTCTCACGGTATCCAGCAGGCCCGCCCCAGCTTGTTCTCAGTGGGGGCTGAGCAGAGTTTCAAGAAAGCAAGCCCAACATGCACAAGGCTCAGAACTGGAATGTCTTCACTTCCTCATCATTCTGTGGGCCAAAGCAAGTGGCAAGGCCTCGACAGGTCAAGTTGTGAGGAAATAGCCTCCATGTCTCAGGGAAGGAGCAGCATCACACCGCAGGGGTGTGGGGTACTGGGAGGGGAGGAACCAGGGCTGCAGCATCCACACTCTGCTTCTGTCTACACATGACGTCCTGTGCATCCCTCTGCATCTTCTCCCTGTCTGATAAGGACACCAGTCATTGGATTTGGGGCCCACTCTAAAACCAAAATGATTTCATCTCAAGATCCTGAACTGACTACGTTGGTAAAGACCTCATTTCCAAATAGGCTCATGTTCTGAAGGAGATGACACTATTCAGCCTACTACTGAGGCTTACACAAAACCAGAGAGTCATTTTGTTCTCATAACAAGAAATCCCAAAGTTGAAGGACACTTACACAAAACCAGAGAGTCATTTTGTTCTCATAACAAGAAATCCCAAAGTTGAAGGACACTGGCATGCTGGTTCAGTGGTCCAGGGTGTCCATGCTGATCTGTCTGAAATTCCCCTGGCCTGCGGCTCATGCTGCCCAGCCCCAGCCCTCAACTCTACAGTCAAGGCAGGAAGGAGGTCAGGGGAGGGAGGGCAGTGTCTGCTATATGGTCCCTTTTTATCAGAAAAGCAAAATATTTCCAAGAAACCCTCACACTAGATTTTCCCTTAAATCTCGTCAACTAAAACTGCCACCCCATCTGCAAGACAGGCTGGGAAATTGAGGCACAGCATGGTCATGAATGGCCTAAACCAACCATGAGTCATTGCCTGCGCTGGACATAGGGCCATGTTGAAAAACACTAGGGTCTGTTAGCAGAGAAGAAGCAGGTGGTGAGTACCACATAGATCCTGTGTCTGCCACCCATACCTCTTCTGAATATGCTTCATACGAGTCCGTTTCTGAGAGTCTGTTCTGACAAAATCCAGTTTTCAGGTCAAGCTCCAATAGGGTGACCCCACCACGACAGTGTGGCCCTCTGTTTTCTTCTCAGGGTGACTAGATAACCACTTCTCCCACATCACTCTAGAGCAAGAAATATCAACTGGAACTGGTTTTGTCTCCTAGGGGATACATGGCAGACATTTTTGATTGTCACAACTGGGGGCAATTGCTGGGGCCGCTGCTATGTGTCAAACACACACAGTGTCTGTGTGGCCGTCCAGAGATGCTCACAGGGTAGAAAGCACCCATGTGATGTAGGCAGGGTGCGGGATACTAGGGGAAGGGCACCTGGAGGAGGTGTTGCCAGACTGATCCTAGAAGATGCGGAGAATTAGCCTAAACAAGGACAGGCACTCCAGGGTGAAGTGGTAAGAGAGGCAGCCCTGAGGACAGAAATGCCCAGAGTTCTCAGTGGCCAGGACCTCGAATGGCAGCAGAAATTGGCTGTGAGGTTGTCAGCCAAGGCCAGGCACAGGAAGAGTATCCATCCATCTTACAGCACTTTGGGGCCACTGTTGTGGACACCAAGGAGTGGCACAGTCTGACTTGTGTTTTAAGAAGCTCATTTTGTCTTAACAGATGGACTTGTGAGGGCAAGATTGAAGGCAGAGATAAAGGTTGGGGGGACTCGGCCTGTTGAGAGAAAGTCAGTAATGGGCACAGCAGTAGGTGTGGAAAAGATTATTCAGGAGAAGATAAATTAGGATCAGTAGCTGTCAGTGCTATAAGAAACAATCTGAAATCAGAGTGGTGTGACACATTAAGAGTTTTCTTATTCACATGCCAGCCCAGAATGAGTCTGCGAGGGGGCCTGGGGCATGGGGGAGGGAGGGCTCTGCTCCACACACTCATCCAGGGGTCCTGCTTTTCCCGCAGAAGCCCGGCCATGCCCCAGGGCAGTGGAATTCTCTGCAGAGAGACTGGGGGTGGGGGCAGAGGGGGGTGGGATGGAAGATCCTGCAGAGGTTTAGGAGCCAGGCCTGGGGACGGTCAATACATTGCCTGTGCCCACGTCTGCCGGTGGCCAGAACTCAGGCGCACAGGCCCCACCTACCCTGAGGGAGGCTGGAAAGTGTGGTCCAGCTGACCTCACAGAACAAAATGGAGCCGGGCCTGGCAAACACGCAGCGCCGACTGCGCCACAGAATGTTTAGGAGGTAAAATCATCGGGGCCCTATTATTGATTCAACGTGGAGGAAGGAGCGAGGAGAGACTGCAGGGCTTCCAGGTTTCCGACAAGGAGGCCGGGACAGGATGCCTTAGATGGCAAACACAGGAGCCGCCGTCTTAGCGAGTAAGATGACGGGTTTATTTTAAAAGCACAGGGAACACTTAACATTTACCACCTGTTCGACTATGTGACCTAAGTTCCATTTATCAGAGAAATGTCTCCTTTTATTAACATGTATTTTTTAACTGGATACAATTTACAACCGTGTCCATTTGTACATACATACATATCGTATCTGATATGTGTCATGTTATTTATAAAAGGGCAGATAACATGAAAGCGAAACAGAAAAATCTTCCTTTTTCAGTATTTCTTTCTCACCAAGTGAGTTTTCAATATTCCTTTCTCGCCCCCCTTCTTTAGTTCCCCTTGCTCTGCGGCTTTGGCAGAAAGCAACGAGCAGCAGCGGTTGCCGAGCGTTTCTGTGGCACAGCAGACTGCGGGCATCGCCACCCCGGGACACTCCCTGCAGCTCAAGTCGTTGGCAGCCCGGTACCAAACCTTGCTGCCACCAGCACAAGGCGTTAATAAGCTGGGCCTCCGTACAGGGAAGCAGTCCCAGGTAAATAAACCCAGAATGTCCGGCTCAGGGAAAGTTTGCCGAATTTTCCCTCTGTTTTAAGAGCCTTTAAATAGGGCACGCAGCCCATTCTCAAATTTAGATTTTTTTTTTTTTTTTTTAGGAACTGGAGCTGTGGAGCCAACTTGCCTGGCTTCCCAGTCATTCTGCCATTTCCTGGTGTGGCCTTGGGCAAGCTGATTAATCTTGCTGGCCTCAGTCCCCCATCTGCAGAATGGGTGGGGGACAGTAGGCAGGGAAAGAATTCACATCCATGACGTGCTTGCAGGAGTGACCGGCATGTCGTGCCAGTCCTGTGTGTGTGTTAGCAGCTGTTATTTCTCTTTGGTTATTTCTCTTTTGTTATTTCTCTATGGTTCTTTAAGAAGCCGGAGTTTTCTTCAGTCTTCTTGCCTTCTCCTTGTTGCTGCTTCTGACCGAGGAGAAGAGCAGTCAGTGGCATCTGCTCCCGGCTTCTGCTCTCGCCTCCGACCCCAGCTTCCCCACTAATGGAGGAGAACAGCTCTCCAGCTCCCGAGCTCTAATGAACTAATTAATTTTTCTATTTCTCTAACTGTTCTCTCTTCCCTGCCAAGCCCTGTGGGTATCTGTTTTGTTCATTTGTTCAAGCTGGGACTTTGAGAGGTAGGCTGGAGGCATCTCTACTCCCCAAATTGCTGAAGCACACACTCGAGGCTTTAGCATCCGTGCATGATGTCTCACCGCCAGAGACAACAGCAGCCTCCCGGGACGCAGGAGGGAAACCACCACAGACGTGTGCGTCTGCACCCCTGGCCGGGCCTCCCTTTCCCACAGTAGGAAGGGGAAGACCTGGAGATTTGTGGGTCTGGTGATCAAGATTCCTCTGTGTTCGTGTGGAAAGGTCACCGGGTGGGGGCCGGGTCAGGGTGGGGACTGGGTTAGGAGGAGATGGGAGCTGGGGCTCGGGTGGGCAGCAGGAGTCAGGTCCAGCCCAGATTTTGAAGTAGAGCCATCGGGACCATGCAAGGAGCGGGCAGAGTGTCCACCTGGGTCAGTGGCCTGAGGTGGAGGAGCAGGAAGCATCTCTTTAGGGAATGTTGGGTTGGAGGCGTCCGTCGCGTGTCCCTGGGGAGATGTCCAGGAGACGGCTGGACACAGAGGCTTGCATTTGGGAGAAGAGCTGGTCTGGAATGGCCCGTCGGGGAGCAAGCCCTGCGCAGCTGGTGTGTGGCTGGCATTTAGCAGGGCAGCACTGGCTGAGCTTGCAGGGGCGGGGCGGGTGTGGCCAGGGCAGGGGGTGGGGGAGGGCTTGTCATTTGTCTCTGTGAATTAGCTGTGTGACAATTTAAACCTGTTTAAATTTCTGAGTAGGTCTGAGGCGTGTGTTGTACTTTTTCAAGGCCCTATTCAATAAAATATTTGGGTAATTACCACACTCGGGAAACTGGCGCAAGTCCACCAGGGCCTAAAAATAGCAAGTTTACAGACCTGCGGATTCTTTTCTCATGACAGCAAGGCCTAGCACACCCGCCCGGCAGCCCGGGAGGCTCAGTCCCCCCCCCCCACTTAGAGACACAGACGGAGGCTGGATGCGGGGCCTAGCTGGCCGAGACCTTTCCAGTGAATTCTGTTCTGCCAGGAGGACGGACGTAGGTGATGACTGGTGCTCTCACTGGTCCGCCAACGGGCTGTCTGTTGGAAAAAGTGCTCCTGGGGATTTCACTTTCCTTCTGAATTTCAGCTGTTATACCAACAATGGCTGGAGCCACCCATCACAGAGAGCACAAGGGTACAAACAGAGGGGCAGGTGCGAGAGGCACGGGACAGCCACATCCTAGACCCAGGGGCCAGCCCGGAAAGTGAGTGTGTAGCCAGGGGGATCCTGTCCTGAGGTTTTGAGTCCTGTGAAGGACGCCTCCGTCCGTCTGTCCCTCCCCAATCGCTGCTTGTGGAAAGGGAGCTCCAGCACCAGCAGAGAAACGGTCCCGAGTACCCGTGTTTAGGAAGAAAATATAGGCGAGGACATTGTTCACTGCTGTCGTCCATTCATGTGTTTCCTTGAGTTGAGGGAGTGTTTAATTGTAGCTGTGAAATGTCTCCACGCAGTTGAGAGACTGCGGTTTATTCCGTGGGAGTTCGCGGGCCTCCACTGTGGGTGCAGACTCTGGTTTACGATTGTGTTTCAGGATCTTGGTATTCAAAGGAGAGGGGCCAGGAAAACAAATCCTACACAGAGGGGCCTGCAGGAGGTTTCTTACTGCTTGGGACTCTCTGCCTTGTACTCCTTTGTCCTTGCACGTGCGGAAGGAGAACAGTGCCTTTGGGGTGGGATTGTGGCCGCCCATCTAGCATCACAGTTGGCCCCATTAGCCTTTCTGGAAGGTGGGAGGACACATTTGAAAGGACACCCCGGGCCCAAAGCATGCTTTGTTTGGCCCACACCATGTTGTTTAAAAATGTTAAATACGAGACCTTTTATCAGTCAGCTCTTGCTCATTCATGCTGCAGGGACAAACAGCCCCCAGATCTCAGTGTCCTGTAGGAATGACCTGGTACACATCCTCAGTGGCCCATCTCCCCGGCACTGCTCCACATCCTGTTGTCTTCATTCGGGGACCCAGGCTGGAGCAGCAGCCCATCGCAGTCCCATGGCAAGGGGAAGAGAGGCAGGGTGAGCCATGCGGTGGCCCTCAAGACTCTGCGGGGATGTGGCGATGTCTCAAAGTGTGTCTCAGCAGCCGAAGCAATGCCAGGAGCTGCCCTGCGGAGGGTGGGCTGTGTGGTCCCCTGACGGGTCAGACACAGAACAAACGGGAGTAACTGGGGGCTCTCATATCATCGTCCAGAATTCCTTTGGATAAAGGATGCCCCTCCCATGTGCCTGTCCCTGCAACTCTGTCCCCAACTAACAAATGCAGTGCTGCCTGCTGCCTCCGTCTGGCTAACTTTCAACACAGCCACTCACAAGTCCATTTCTTTTTATCGTAAAATGTTTAAGAATAGGCTGGGCTTGTGCCTGTAATCCTAGCACTCTGGGAGGCTGGAGCGGGAGGATCGCTTGAGGTCAGGAGTCTGAGTCCAGCCTGAGCAAGAGCGAGACCCCATCTCTACTGAAAATAGAAAAATTAGCTGGGCATAGTGGCACATACCCAGCTACTCTGGAGGCTGAGGCAGGAGGATCATTTGAGCCCAGGAGTTTGAAGTTGCAGTGAGCTATTATATGGGAGGGAGGGAGGGAGGGAGGGAGAGAAAGAAAGAAAGAAAGAGAGAGAAGTGGATATTCCGACATCAAGATATCTGGAAACAAGAAAAAAGACATTTCAAAACTGTCAAAATTTTGCCAGCTGGTTCTTTGTGCCTGACCATGTCTTAGTTCTTAGATGGATACCTTCATCCACTCGTGTATTTACTATTCAGTTATTCCACAAATCTGCATGGAGTTCTTCCCACGTGTTGGGTGCAGGACGGACGGTGATGAACAGAAACCCACCTGTGTGTGCCTCCCCTCCTGAATGAGGACTTGGGGTCAGATACTCACCCCAGTTCCTGACATCGTTCTTGTATCTATGAGCAGGTACAAAGGCAAGTTGTGCGGAGCAGGTGGTAAATGTTCTGTGTAAAACCTTTCAGCATTAGCAACAGTGCATGCCATGTCTAGAGAGTGAGGCTACGGCAGGGATACGGACTTTGCATCTGTCATCAGTTGTTCTCGGGTAAAAGAGTTCCTAAAGAGTAGGGACAGCAGAGAGATGCACCATTGGCACAGATCACCACTCCCACTGTGCGAGCGACAGTTTGTCATCCGAGATGTGTTCTCCACGGCTCCTTCCTCACCACCTGCAGTGCAGCCCCTGACTGCAGACCTCTGTCGGTCTCTTTCAGGGTTCTGTCAGGATTCCACTCTCTCCTTCTCTGCCTTCCTCTCCAGGTCCTGGTTTTGCCCCCATGTCACTGGCACTGTACCCGAGGCCACCCTGAGCCCCTTCAGAGCCTTGGCTGCACCTTCTCCCATGCTGCAGGGCTGAGCCCTGTCCTGTCTGCCCCAGGAAAGCTGTCCATGAGCCACTCAGCAACCTCAATCCTAGTCACCCCTGGGATCTGGCTCAGCCATCCTCTGGAAAGCCTCTCTTCTGTCCCTGGTCCTTTGAAACGTGGTCAGGTCACTGTGGATTTACTCACTTATGTTCCTGCATTAGCTACCCATCCCTGGGGACAGGCACAATGCCAACGCCTGGCCACTTTTGTATGGCAGAGCTCAGCAGGGAGCCCATACATAGTGATTAAGCTGACACTTGAGATCCTCCCCAGCCGGACCTCAGCTCCAGACCAGCCTTCTGTTCAGCCACTCACCATATGTGGAAGCCTGTGACCCACCAGGGTCTGTCTGCTCACGGCCCCTCCAAGAGCCACGGGCTTTCTGACCTGGGACAAAGGTGCGCCACTCCGGGGCAGCCCAAGCCTTCCAGACCCAGGTCCGACCAAAGCCCCTGTAAAGCTTCCCTGGCCTCCTGAACCCACAGGGATGGAATTAGGAGGTAGAGATTTATAGTCATTGTGGAAATCACTGAGGTGATCTTGAAAATGAATGATAGGGCTTGTCTTATTGCTTGGAATTATGTTAGCTCTTACATTTAAAATTTTTCATTGTTTTGCTCCATGTCCCAAATGAAGTATAGGCTTCATCACCACAGGAGCTCGCCTCCCAGAATCAAGCCCTCAGCTGGCTCCAGCTCTGTGTCCTGCTTGGCAGGAGGCACCCAATTAACATGGTTGGTGGGGCTCAGGTTTGCCTACATGCCTCTCCACTGCTCAGAATTCGCAGGTGTGGCGGAAGTCCTTGGGGCTTCCAGCAGGCTTCCCTGGCCCCACTGGGATAAACGTTCCCAGCAGCGATTCGGTCTTAAAAAAAAAACTGTGAGAACTAGTTAGTCCCCAACTAAATGAGAGAGATGTTATTAACTTCCAAATACTCCAGACAACAAAAAGATGAGGCTGAGGATAAGAAAAGCTTTCAAGACCGTAAATATTTAAGGAGCAATCACTCAATGCCTGCTCTGGGCCAGCCCACTTTCAGGAAGAGATCAACTCAGAGCACAAGAGACATAGGTTTTCCACGCCTTTGAAATGTAAGCATTATTAAATAAAAAGCAAAAGATTGAAATGGGCTGCTTACGTAGGAAAGCCATACTCATGAGCTTAAAACTTCCAAAGAAACTCATGTAATATATAAAATATGTTCCATTTACTTTTTTTTCTTTTTTTTTTTTTTGAGACAGAGTCTCACTTTGTTGCCAGGGCTAGAGTTCTATGGCGTCAGCCTCGCTCACAGGAACCTCAAACTCCTGGGCTCAAGCGATCCGGCTGCCTCAGCCTCCCGGGTAGCTGGGACTACAGGCATGCGCCACTAAGCCTGGCAAATTTTTTTCTATATATTTTTAGTTGGCCAATTAATTTCTTTCTATTTTTAGTAGAGATGGAGTCTGGCTCTTGCTCAGGGCTGGTTTCGAACTCCTGACCTCGAGTGATCCACCCACTTTGGCCTCCCAGAGTGCTAGGATTACAGGCATGAGCCACCATGCTCGGCCCCATTTACTTTGTTTTCGTCTTCAGCTCAATCGCATAGCTTTTCCAAAATTCACTGCCATTCCTTTTGAAATGGAACATGTGCTTTTCTACTGGAATCATACTTTTCATCGTAAAGTTAGAAGAGAATGTCTTGGCTCAGTTTTTTTCCAAAGAAGTTTACTTTTTTCAAGGCGATGCACTCAGCATATTTCAGAGACACAGATCATAGCATGTGTTTTCCAGAAGGCACACAGCTATCGGAGGGAGGTGACAGAAACTCTCACCTCTTTCTTTTCCCACTAATTTCTAGGGAGGAGATAGAGAAGTCTGGAGTGTCATAGGAGATAATGTGCATAAATGCTGTAATTATATTGTTAATAAAGGCTCATTTAGTGACAGATGAATCAATTTCAAGTCTAACACATTGACTGCCACACTAGAAAAAACAATTTTTTTTCCTTGAGGCCACAGTGTTTTATTACAAAAATAGAATAAAAACTTTGAAAACAAAATGACCCTGTCTAATTTAATGAAAACTTGTTATTTTTTTTTTTCTGTGTGTCAGTTATATGCAGCTTGAAAACTAGTGCATGTGAGTCTCAAGGTAAAGAGATGAATGAGTTACGTATGCTTCACAAGGCCCTGGGCTCAAAACTAACATGAGTTAAATACAACTCACATGGCAGTTAGTGGGCTAAACAA